AAATTCAAAAAATGTATATTTAGTGTAAGAACAAAAGCTACACAAAGTGTTGTTGTTTCTTTTGTCGTGTTGTAATTAACTGGCGTTTCAATTGTGCATCTGCCGTGCATGCATATGTTTACATTAACCTCAAAAACACAGTTATCATACGAATTATTATTATCCGCGATGACGCGAAGTAGGGATTCCAAAGAAAGAAAAGGGCTGAAGGAAATGATTCTGGTGACATTGATTCTGATGCGATGCAATTGTACAGACGGTTTATATAGGAAGAAATTATCCCTTCAATAGGATAATTGTCCAACAGTAGCAATGTCCGTCTACATAGTTCGTAGATGCTGCATTTTTCAGTAGAGATAATAGTGGAAAATTTGTAGCGAAGAAATTTTGTTGACACGTTGACTGGGTGTGACGTATGAGCGACGGTAAAAGTTCTGAGTAAGCACAGTCACCCGTACGTGAGTGATGCTTATTTGACCACTTATGAAGAATATTTGTAGGTGTTTAAAAAAAATAAAAAAATATCTAATCTAATTCTTTCGAATCGTGCCGGTTGAACTGATTTACATAATTTCGCTTATCAACGGCGGTTTTTCCACGGTTCTAAGAAGACAATTATTTCCGCGTGGCACGAACGTGGAGACACTGAACGTCATAGTGTTAATATACAAAAAAAATATTTAATTTTCAATTAAAATAATACAAAAATGATTTCTTACCAAATTAAATTACAGTTTCTCCAATAAAATCTACTTTATTTAATAAATTAAATTGTATTGTTTTCGGAATCATTAACTTTTTCTCCGCTCTCAATGACTAATTCCAGCAAAATCTCGAAAGTATCTTCATCATAGTCATTATCGTAATGCAATATTGAATCACTTATCGAAATCAGAATCAGAGAAGCTGTCGATAGAATAGTATTAATTTTTCTTTTCTGCTGTCCATCATCGCAACTATCTGATTTCTTGTAAGCTTCGAAACAGGTTTCTTCTTCACTGCCATATCATTTTTTACAAAATTTCTTTATCATTTTCTTTTTGGAAATTCTAAAAAATTAGTGCAAATTTTTACCACAAAATAAATTTTCAATATTTGCCACTATTGAAAAAATATTAGGAAATTGAGAAATCATTTCTAAATCTTACACGCTTTGTTAGATACTGTGTTTTTGAAGAATTATTTTCAACTTAACGCATTTCCCGAAACATTTCGTTCTATAACTGCCTAATTTCTGCTACGATAAGAAACAAAAATTCAGTGAATAAAGAAACAGATAACACAGCTAAAACATCAACAAATAACCAAGAAACTAAAAAGACATTACACCCGGTATATACTGACATCCAAAAATCGCACAATAAAAGAATTAAAACATACTGGGAAGAACACTGGCCCACTACGATTCCAAAAAAACTCCGTACTTTTGTAAACATCTTTTATGAAGATAATAAGCCGTCGAACTTTGGTAAAAGAAAACATACTACCGGACACACTAACACCACTCACGGCTACCTATTTAGTGGAAATCCCAAACAAAATTGTTAAATATGCAATGAATAAATGAGCATCAAACACATAGCAATAGATTGCCCCAAATATATCGATGAAAGAATAAAGTACAGAATTCCAGAAGACTTGAAGACTGCTCTTTCACTCAGGAAACATCACAGTGACATTATTAATTTTTTAAAAACAATAAATATTTTTAAATATATATAACACTTAATATAGCTATATATTGTTACATGGGTCAAATTTCTTTCGTTTAGTAATAATAAAATACTTCAATAATTCAAATAATTATAATAATAATACTTCAA